CATAAGTTTTGAATTTAAGTATGACTAAAGTAAATTTTCTGGTTGGTCAGCAAGCTATTATTGTTGTCTTAATTCTTCTGAGGTTGCCGCTAGTTGTGGCAACCTAATGTCCCTCACGGTTGATAGCCTTAATTAAGCCCAACCGCTAACATAACTGGACCTTCGCGGTTGATAAAGCTTACGCCCAACAGCTAATTTAATTAACAAGTTACAGCCCCACTCCTGTGCCAGATAAGTCTACTACGGGCTCACCATAGCCCGTGCTAATCTGAACTTACGTTTCGAGCAGCTGAATCTTAAACAACAACAACAACAACGACAGCTAATTTAACTTGACTGATTCGAGCTCAGGAGATCTTTGCTACCTAAAATATATAACGATGTCTTGGACTTACTATTACAATACAAAACTCTCATGTAATATTTTTTTTTTGTCCAGCTTAAGAAATGAGTGTTCACAAAACTAAGCTTTAATATTGAACGGCAAGAAATATAAAATACAATTGAAATTAGGTTTTATAAAAGAACTTTGAGTTAATTTAAAATTGGTAATAAAGAAAACACGTGTGAAAATTTCACTGTAATGTAAATAAGAAGGATTTATTGTAAACAAGAAGGATTTATTGTAAATAAGCATAATATGTAGTAATTAATCCCCTTTGCTTTGCTTTGCTTTGCTATTTTGCTTCATATACGTACCGTGGTAGTGTTAGGCCTAAGGTCAATCATCCTCTGAAGGATTTATTATGGCTCCTACAATTGTATGCTGATCAACCGTTAAGAATACTTTAGTCTTTCATGTATTCCAGTACTATCTTGAGAGGTTATCTTGAGATGATTTCGGGGCTTTTAGTGTCCCCGCGGCCCGGTCCTCGACCAGGCCTCCACCCCCAGGAAGCAGCCCGTGACAGCTGACTAACACCCAGGTACCTAATTTACTGCTAGGTAACAGGGGCATAGGGTGAAAGAAACTCTGCCCATTGTTTCTCGCCGGCGCCTGGGATCGAACCCAGGACCACGGGATCACAAGTCCCGCGTGCTGTCTGCTCGGCCGACCGGCTCCCGGTTGAGAGTAACTTAGAGAATTTACTAGAGTAAATTCTCTGCGTATATTCTTCGAGAAGCTGAGTATACCTTTTTGGTGTAAGTATATAGTCCTGCTGCCGCACTCTATTAGTAACTGAACAGATTTGAACTGTTTTGCTGATGACTGACTCGCAGTAAACCAATATGTTAAAGTTTATCCTATAATAATAATAATAATAATAATAATAATAATAATAATAATAATAATAATAATAGCATCATTTAGAGCAATGAGGTGATTTGAACCGGTGTTCTAGTGATTCCCCAGACATGTGTAAGACACCTGCCTTAACCCACTTGACTACGATAGGACAAATAAATAATAACAAAAATATCCAAATGAACATGATGCAGGGGATACCTATTCAGGAGGAACAGTAATTGTATATTGAACACTACACACAGTTGTTGTTTGATTTCTGTAATGACAACAATGAAAGCTTCATTATACGCACTGGAATGGAGCGAAAGGGGTACGTATTCGGTCTCTTGGGCCGCCTGGAACAAGGAAACACATTCCTGTTTCTGTTCACATGACTCCTCTGTTTATCTAAAAATCTGTCTCTTGTTCCTCGCTTCACTAAATGACTCTTAGCTCACTAAACTACTTTTGACTCGCTAAATGACTTTTCTTTCTAGACCTAAAACACTCAGCTGGGGTTGAGTGAGAGCCTGAGTCACACTCAGCCAAGGCTGGGTGAGGGGCCTGGGTCACACTCAGCCAGGGCTAGGTGAGGGGGCACTTACACGTTTATGGCGAGGTATGACCAACTAAGTCGCGTCGCCACCCACCATGCAAAAGCTCTCAGCTTCATAGCCAGTCTGAGAGCCACGGTGTGTCTTGCATACGATACTAACTTGTGCATGCCGCATAGAGGCAGTCATGACGATTTCCATAATTCGGCTTTATGCACATACTCACGCCGTGTACCTCTGTTGTTCACAATTCGAGTTATTGAGTCCTATGCTCTAAATTTATTTAGAGTAGACTTTATTTTGCTCGTTATGCTTGTTCGTTGTGTCCTTTCATTATGATTTCGTGATAACTTATTTCAGATTTAAATAATTTATTTCGTACAGATATGTACCCAGGGGTATCAGTCAAAGGCACCTGATTCTGCTTCCTTATTAAGTGACGGGAACCCAGCTAGCTATTGAACCTGTTTAACTGTTAACGACACACTTATCCATTAAGCAAACACTAGATATTGTTGATTTCATGAACATTAATTTATTATGATGCATTATGTAACTTCGTGATTTACTGAGGCTTGTCTGGCACGCACCGACACGATCTTTGTTTTTCTTGGCTTCATGACCAAAAAGTTGTTCAGCGAAAAACGCGTTTCAACACTGGAAGTATCTCCTAACTTGGCAGAATAATGAGATTTGTTATGAGTGAGATCGAGCAAGTTATATGGGCCGAGTAGTGTACTTCTCGAAGCCTAGACACGGTTACATTGTCACCTTTATGATCCTGGTATATTTATGATCCTGGTAGTCGGTATAAGGGCTTAACACTGTCTTGCTCATCGCTCAGTATCTCTCGGGTGTGGTGATAGTAGTGGTGTCTCACTTCTTGGCCATGTGGATAGTACTAAAGTTTGTATATAGTTAAGGGAAGAGCGCTTCGAACTAGAGACTTAAAATCGTTGCCACAGGATACTCACCAGACCTCTACTGATGCCGATGCCCATTACTCCAGCGAGTGAGCGCGTGTCACATTATTCAGCTTATCAGATCTAAGTTGAGACCGAGACAAAAATGTTAAGATTGATTAAATTCCGAGATGGAAGCGTTGCATTCACAAATTTACATAATGAACATTCAACTTATGATTATAAATTATCGTAATTATAATGCAGCAGATATTGACTTATAATAAATTTGGTGTAGTAGAAATGTATTATTTTTATTTTGCTTAATATGTATATTTTGCATTTTGTTACATTACTTTTGGGTTGTGTAAATTATTGATTGTTGCCGCTGGAGGCCTAGTTTATTGTGCACCCCATACTCTTCCTGTGAGTGCTAGTTTATTGTGCACCCCATACTCATCCTGTGAGTGGTAGTTTATTGTGCACCCCATACTCATCCTGTGAGTGGTAGTTTATTGTGCACCCCATACTCATCCTGTGAGTGGTAGTTTATTGTGCACCCCATACTCATCCTGTGAGTGGTAGTTTATTGTGCACCCCATACTCATCCTTATCAATGTGGTGTGACCCCCCAGCGTGCCGTCAGTGTGATGGTTCTCCCTGGGCATAAAGTTGTGACATGGGCTCAGGCGGCGAAGTGCTAGATGCTATTGTTTAGATTTTTCCCTGTATGCACCTCAGTGTGTTGGTGTGTTTATATGTATCGGAGAATCTGTTGTAGTTTTACGGGCTATTCAAGCCCGTGCCACCTCTTAGGTGGCTTAATCTTCATCAATCATCAATGTTGTAGTTTTGGTTAACGGGCGCAGCAGTTGTGATTTGCGCAGTGTGGTTTATGGATAGTTTAGTGTGAGTTGTTTAAGTAGCAACTTGTGAGCTTAGATATTGTGAGGTTCAGTGACGTGCTGTTGTTAGTGAGTTGTAATTAGTAAGAGCGAACGTGGGGCGTGTACTCACCTAGTACTCACCAAGTTGTTTTGGGGGGTTGAGCTCTGGCTCTATGGTCCCGCCTCACTGCGTGTAATTACCTAAGTGTAGTTACAGGATGAGAGCTACGCTCGTGGAGTCCCGTCTTCCCAGCACTCTTTGTCATATAACGCTTTGAAACTACTGACGTGCCGTCAGTAGATAGAGTGCAGGCGTTGGTAGCGTGTACAGCAACGTTCTTAAAACTATTAACTGTTGAGAGTAATGACGACGATTCTAGGGTTAACAAGAGCAGCTGTGGGTGTTGTACCCTGTGTCAGTGGGCTGCATCACTTCCACACATCAGGGTCACCGCGCCGCCTCGCTGGCATTTAGTGTTAAAATATAATATTTATTTTCGACACGTAAACATATTTCTTAGCTAGCCACAGGTAATTAGTAATGTATCAACGCGACCGTGTCTAACACGCATATGCTGATCCGAAATTTAGCCAGTAAGGTCATGCCTGTCGAAGCCTTATATAGAGACAGTCATGACAGCATCATTCAATCATTCACTTGTTGAGCAATGTGATGCAACACAAGCCATGTTTGCAATCATTTCCCTCTTGATGACGATTAACCGTCTTTGGATTTGTTGTCCACGATCGGTTCTCAAAATGAAACAAACCAACCAAATGGAAATACGATAGCTTTGATACTAGGAAAATCCACAGCTTGGCCAACCTGACATTTCCTCGAAGGGTTTGTTTACGCCGACACGGTCTGTGAAGGAATTCAGGCATCTTAGTCACGACGAGGAACACTGGTAATATTTACATGGAGCAGCAGACGCGTACATATTGGTCTGCCAGCCAGTGGTCTGGGAAGAGGGTTAGAGGAGGTGATAGCATCACCCCCTTCCCCCTCTGGGAAGGTAACCTGTTCTACGCGCGCCAGTGCTGGTTGATGCCTCTCTCTCCCCCACTAAACTTTAACCGACTAGTCCGCAGACATGTTAGATTATATAACTCATAAGGACAAACTCTGAATAGGATTATTGTTTAGTATTAGTGAATTGTTCGTATTATTGTGATATGTATATATTTTGCAAGAGTGGCAATGAGTACATTTGCAAGCAAAACACGTTCTCTGAAGTACGCCAGACGCCCTTGTGTGCTGGTATGTAACCTGTGTGCTAACTTGCTGCCTTCGTCTGTCTTTGCTAGACTTTTGAAATTCTTCTAACTTGTATATTAAATAAACCATTATTCATTTCACTAAATGTATGTGGCGAAGAGAGCCAATTAAGCTGTGTATCGCCCTCACCGTCTTCATTTCCTCCCTCAGATCGGATGCTAGACGACCTGAAAACTACCGTTGGCAGCGACAGCGAGATGAGCGCCCCGGACTCCCGCTCAGACAACATCCTCGTCTCCAACTTCAGGTAATTTTTTTTGTAATAATACATGAGGTACATCTGCATTTGTGCAGCTACTCTAGACTATATGAAGTGGACTACAGTGTGTCAAAAAAGCTAACTACGTGATGCTAAAAAAATCCCCATCACACATAATGGTTAGTCATACAGAGGCATGTGATAGGCAGTCTGCACTGGCAGACTCCGGGTGCATTTTGAGAATATCAACACAAGAGTGAATAAGGTAGCAGTGGTAATAAATCTCCTCCATCTAATTGAACTAATTTTCAGAAATTCGAATTATACTTTAATATATGTTAGATGTTAGTAAAGTAAGTAAGGTAATTATGTAAAGGTAAAGTAAGGTAATTATGAAGAAAAAACGTTAAACCGGTATCACTATATATCACTAACTAATGGGAGGAAGGGAAGGGAAGGGCTTCCTTTCCCGATAAAATCAGGAGGAAGCGACAAGCCATTACGGCTATATATCACTTGGAAGGGGTCAGGATAAGGATTTGGGATGTGAAGAAACGGTGACCATATCGGAATAGAATGTCGACTGCAAGAAGCGTCACCGTCGCCCTGATGACCAGTCTAAGTGGCTGTAGTCTGACCATATGTGTGTGTGTGTGTGTTAGCTTGATTGTTCTACATTTAATAACCTGCACTCCAGGATTCCCCAAGGATTCGAACCTTGGCCGCCGATGTTGAAGCCTAGTGCTGTATCCACTCTACCAGCAGTGAGAATACATCCTGTATATGTTACTCCCAAAATGATAGTACTTACAGTAACTATTTGGTCGAACTTCCCAATGTGTACAGCTGGATCCCCAAAAAGGTCATGTTTTATATTCATTTTGTACAGGTTTAATAAAGATAAAACCCAAACTAAACATTCCTAGGCCTAGTATAGCACATGTATGTACTATATTAGGCCTTAGATAGCATATATTAGGCCTTAGATAGCATATATTAGACCTAAGGTTGCATATATTAGGCTTAAGGCTGCGTATATTAGGCTTAAGGGGTTGAATATTTGGCTTAGGATTGCTTGGCTAAGTTAGATATAATTGTTAAATAATATTATTGTTATTTGTTTTGTCGTCATAATAATAATCATTATTTATCCTGGCAGTAGCAACAATATTGGGAAGTAAATGTTAGTAATTATATCAGTGAGGGTAATGTTTATATTTACAAGCTTTGCAATTTTGTCAATCAGCGCAGACTTTGGGGTTGTCAATCAGCGCAGGTTATGGGGTTATCAATCAGCGCAGGTTATGGGGTTGTCAATCAGCGCAGGTTGTGGGGTTGTCAATCAGCGCAGGTTATGGGGGTTGTCAATCAGCACAGGTTGTGGGGTTGTCAATCAGCGCAGGTTATGGGGTTGTCAATCAGCGCAGGTTATGGGGTTGTCAATCAGCGCAGGTTATGGGGTTGTCAATCAGCGCAGGTTGTGGGGTTGTCAATCAGCGCAGGTTATGGGGTTGTCAATCAGCGCAGGTTATGGGGGTTGTCAATCAGCGCAGGTTATGGGGTTGTCAATCAGCGCAGGTTGTGGGGTTGTCAATCAGCGCAGGTTATGGGGTTGTCAATCAGCGCAGGTTATGGGGTTGTCAATCAGCGCAGGTTGTGGGGTTGTCAATCAGCGCAGGTTATGGGGTTGTCAATCAGCGCAGGTTGTGGGGTTGTCAATCAGCGCAGGTTATGGGGTTGTCAATCAGCGCAGGTTATGGGGTTGTCAATCAGCGCAGGTTATGGGGTTGTCAATCAGTGCAGGTTGTGGGGTTGTCAATCAGCGCAGGTTGTGGGGTTGTCAATCAAGGCAGGTTATGGGGTTGTCAATCAGCGCAGGTTATGGGGTTGTCAATCAGCGCAGGTTGTGGGGTTGTCAATCAGCGCAGGTTGTGGGGTTGTCAATCAGCGCAGGTTGTGGGGTTGTCAATCAACGCAGGTTATGTGGTTGTCAATCAGCGCAGGTTATGGGGTTGTCAATCAGCGCAGGTTATGGGGTTGTCAATCAGCGCAGGTTATGGGGTTGTCAATCAGCGCAGGTTGTGGGGTTGTCAATCAGCGCAGGTTATGGGGTTGTCAATCAGCGCAGGTTATGGGGTTGTCAATCAGCGCAGGTTGTGGGGTTGTCAATCAGCGCAGGTTATGGGGTTGTCAATCAGCGCAGGTTGTGGGGTTGTCAATCAGCGCAGGTTATGGGGTTGTCAATCAGCGCAGGTTATGGGGTTGTCAATCAGCGCAGGTTATGGGGTTGTCAATCAGTGCAGGTTGTGGGGTTGTCAATCAGCGCAGGTTGTGGGGTTGTCAATCAAGGCAGGTTATGGGGTTGTCAATCAGCGCAGGTTATGGGGTTGTCAATCAGCGCAGGTTATGGGGTTGTCAATCAGCGCAGGTTGTGGGGTTGTCAATCAGCGCAGGTTGTGGGGTTGTCAATCAGCGCAGGTTATGTGGTTGTCAATCAGCGCAGGTTATGGGGTTGTCAATCAGCGCAGGTTATGGGGTTGTCAATCAGCGCAGGTTATGGGGTTGTCAATCAGCGCAGGTTGTGAGAGCGTCAATCAGCTCAAGTTGTGAGGGTGTCAGTTAACGTAGGTTGTGGGTTTGTCAATCAACTCGGTTGAGAGGCGTGTATCTATGCAGGTTGTGGGGACGTCATTCAACGCAAGTTCTGGGGGGGGGGCATCAATCAACATAGGTTGTGGGTGTGCGAAGTTACCAAAATAAAAGGTTTGAAGTCTATGAATTGGAACTCCTATATATTTTAGAAGAACGTGAATGACAAGTTTAGCGAATTAAGCGAACGTCATTTTGCTTATCTTATTTTCAGATACGTAAATCCTGCGTTAGTTAAAGGTCATGTTTTAAATGATTTAAAAAAAAAACTTTTTCAATGATTTTACGTTTTAAAAACGTATCTGTTTTTATGGACTACCTCTGTTGCTGCACATGCTACTGGTGTTTTTTTCCCTCTGAACTATTACGTTTCCCAAACTATTTAATCTTTAAATATGTGGAATATCTTCTTATCAAAGCCCCTGCTTACAGCCCCTGTTGGAAATGGACCATACTACCATTTAACCTTCCATATAGCGATTTATATTTTACAGTAGAGAGGATTATATTATTTTAAGCTGGCTGCACTGGTTAATGCTTGGGCTGTCAGTGGTCATCGCTCGGACTCTCAGATTGTATCACTCGGGTCTTCAGTGACTATCGCTCGGGATGTCAGTAGGTATCAGTCAAGCTGTCAGTTTGTATCGGTCGGTTCTTCAGTTAGTATCGCTCGGGATGTTTTTTATTTTTTCATCATTCGTGCTTCTGTATGGTGGTTATCTAGAAGCCTCTCCGATCGTTTAAAAACCACTGTGCATCAGACTAGAAACGTACTAGGCTTTTGTAATCTTGTCAACGGCTAAATTTTAAGGTAACTGTACAATCAAATTCGGGAACCATTGTAGGCTGTTCGGTAGCTGGACTCGAGGCGTTGCCATGCACTCTACTCGTATACAAGTCACATCGTACACAAGACGGTTTGCCAGCGAATTTTAAAACCCTCCTAACCTAATGGGAGCCGGTCGGCCGAGCGGACAGCACAGTGGGCTTGTGATCCTGTGGTCCCGGGTTCGATCCCGGGCGCCGGCGAGAAACAATGGGCAGAGTTTCTTTCACCCTATTCCTCTGTTACCTAGCAGTAAAATAGGTACCTGGGTGTTAGTCAGCTGTCACGGGCTGCTTCCTGGGGTGGAGGCCTGGTCGAGGACCGGGCCGCGGGGACACTAAAGCCCCGAAATCATCTCAAGATAACCTTGCACAACCTAACCTAACCCTAACCAGTCTAACCTTACCCATTCTAACCTAACCTAACCATCCTAATCTAACCCAAGCGAGCTTAACACAGCCTAACCTATGGCTAATATATCTTAACCTTACTATATACATTAATAAAATAGTAGTCCGTACAGTAACTTTTGGGGCCACCGTGTATATATGGTTTTTACGAACAATAAACGAGCTTTGTCGAATCATGTTGTGTACGATGTGTGAACCCTCTCCTAGTCAGTTCGCTATTATTGTTAGCAAAGATTAGCACCCATAATGGAATAAGATCTTATCGGCATACTGCACTTGTAGACGGGTTACTGTGTAACTTCATAGTAGTCTGATTGGTGGATTTACGTAACTTAATGGACTAGATACACTTGACTATCATTTTAGAAGCCGGGTTTTCGATCTCTTGCTCAGTCAGCTAAGTAGCGTAATCTCACCCATGTTGGAACATGGTTTTCCAAATGTTAACTTGACCATCAAATTTACTGCTGCGATGATAGCATATTTCGACCCCTGATGTTTTAGGTATATATGCTGATAAATTTAGCAGTCAAATTCCCCGTGCAAAGGTTTTCAATATAGGATGACTCAAGGTGACTATAATAAACAGAAATAAGTCGTTACTTATTTGACCAACGTTTCTAAGATATTATTTGACTAACGTTTCTAAGATAAAACTCCAGATGAAATGTCTCGTGGACTTTTTGAATTGGTGTTACATTGCAATTTAATTTTATACATCGAATTTATGTTTACATCATATATTTGCTGCTATAAACTGCATGCAAAGAACTCAAGAGTGGGCGGGGAACCCATTCATGGCGCTGGAGAAACTTTGGTGGGAAGCTGTAAAGTTTTATGCGAGAGATTGAGGTGTGATATGAGGTTCAGAGACTGGCGTTCACAGCACCACAATCCCCCACCCTCTTAAATGGTCACCAGTCCAACACACACACACACACACACACATTCCCCACCCTTATATGCGGTCCTCAGTCCAACACAGTCCCCACTCCCACACGCGGTCTCTAGTCCCACACACGGTCCTCATTCCCACGAAATCCTCTAGCTCCCCCAGACCATCCACAAATGTGCGGGTTACCATTATACACGAATAGCACCGTCTGTGGCAGAAAATAAAACTACATAGAGGTCACAGACAAAAACATTCACCCACCTCTCCT